CCTCCACGTTTTCTGAATATTTACTTTAAATATGAGAACATTATCACCATTCTGACAAATACCAGAACCTCCACGTTGTCTGAATATTTAACCCTTTAAAGGAGGAAAAGGTGCATAAAGTATAAACATTAAAAATACAAGGGAGTAACACAGAGATTTGAGTGACATATGAACAATCAGGATGGCTAATATATAGTATACATATTGCACAGGTCAATAAATAGAATATAATTGCACAGTAGTTGTGATAGTAGTTGTTATAGTATAGACATAGACATAGACATAGACTTCCTTTATTGCAGCATTGTATAGTCTGGTAGCATAAATGGTTATTTATAAATGTAAATGACTTTCAGATGGGAGGCGTGATTAAATTAAGTATTGATGCCTCCTGCATTTACACAGTCGCTTTAGAATCAAGGGTTTTAAACTTCCTTTACCTTCTAAATGCGCTCTTTACCACATTTGATCACATTTTTGGAAATAATGTAGATGTAAAGCTCGAAAGATCCTGTTGTAGTAATAATCCAGAAATAATTTTGAGCTGTTTAATTAGAACTATTCAGAATATCATTTTTAATTTGTGACCAATATCTCAATCAAGAAATTAAAATGACATTTTTAAGTCACCCAATGCGAAAGCAAGACCAATGGTGTCAATAAAATTATTAAATCTTAAGAGACAAGCAGACAATCAACGATTAACCCTTTAAAATCTGATCCAAGAATAAAACAAAACAGAAAATTACTTATTTTTTGTTCGTATTCCTTATTTGGCCTTTTATACAAAAATATATAAAAAGAAAAAACAGAAATACATTTTTAACATTAATAATTCATTACTATGTGATAAGTCAAGATAATTTTTTGTGTAGTCTTCTGCCCCCCGTTATCAGGTGTATCTGATTGTGTTCAATAGGATTTGTCCACGTCTGGGGGAATGTCTGGTGTGTTGTCATGTCTTGATTACCTATTGTGTTCACCTGGGGTTCCCCTCCCTCATGTGTTTAAATAGTCCTCGTTTCCCATGTCCTGGGCCAGTGCGTTTTTGTCTTTCTTCTCCCCACGTCATGTAAGGTTTTGATTATTTCCCATAGCCATGTTTTGCCACAGCCTTGCCACAGTTTTGTTAATCTTTATTTTGTTACTTTGCCATAGCCTTGTTTTGACCACAGCCATGTTAATCTCGTTTGTATTTTTGCCACAGTCTTGTTTTGATACTTTGCCACAGTCATGTTAACCTTGCTTTGTTACTTTGCTCATAGTTTTTTGCCACAGCCCTGTTTTTTAACCTGTTTTTTGTTACAATAAACCCTGTTTTCTGCATCTCCGCGCCTGAGTCCTCCATCAAGATCCACCTTCCTGACAGGATTTTGAGCAAAGTTTTTACCATTAAATTAAGCAAAAGGTCTCAGACGCAAAACATTTCAGAAACCGTATGAATCAGATATGATACATTTGGCATTACAGGGTTAAAAACAGTCGTTCTGGGCTGATGGCCGTCCCTGATTACTTCTCCCAGATGTAAAGGTCAGAGTGAAATGAATCCTGACCCCTGACCCCTGACCCCGGTCCCTGTGTCCATATATCCAGATATCAGAGACCAGTGAGCAGGAAGAAGATACTCAGTTTGGTGAATGTCATCGGCTGATGGGTGGGGGGTGTCAGTCAACGTTTCTCGGCCAATAGGAGCCTGAACTGCTCCTGACAGCTGCTGTACCAAATCAAAACGCATTTAGCTGCATAATGTCAAAATGTCTGAGTAAACAGAGGCAGCCTGGAGGATCCACAGCCCAAAAACGCTTATTTCTGGAGTTTTTTCCTCAAATGATGAGTTCTAAAAACGACATTACCAAGAACAACCAAGTAATATATATCATATATCAGTCACAACTTTAAATAGTGTGAAGACAAAAGTTTCTGCTTGCTTTTCCTAGCCTCAACTTTAAGAACGAAGAGGGACGATGAATAGGGACTTCTGCATTTCCCAGTGTAGAATTTTTGAGCAGAAGAATCTTTAATTTGTTTTATTTTCACAACAAAAACATGAAAACAGTAAGATGTTTTACTAAAGAAAAAAAATTTGATGGACAACTGCCGAAAAACCCTCAATATATTTCACAATTTCAAACCTCTGTATGATATTGTGTAAAAGAAAAAAAAACAACATTTTTTGCATAAAACAATTTAAAATATAATTTAGACCACAAATCCATATGAAAAATTCAGACAACTTAGGCTGGACTGCTTCTGACAGCTCTTGTCCCAAATCAAAACGCATTTAGCTGCATAATGTCAAAATGTCTGAGTAA